CAATGCTGCTCTCTGGACACAGTGTGACTATCTGGCTTTCAATGTGATGGTGTAATCTGGAATTTGTCATCTCGCTGTTGCTTATTTTCCTTGCAGATGGGTTGACACTCCAACACTCTTCAATTCTGTGTGTGTTGATGTGGTGGTGGTGAGGGGGGGGTTGTGAAGTGGGATGGGTTGAAAGTGCGGCAACTATTATCATGTAACTTTGTCGAGCTGTGTGCATATTGTTCATTTCTTCTGTGGCAGTTGTATGCTCCTATGCCGCTTCTTATTTGGCTTGCTGTCACTGTGGAACTGGCGATCATGAACTGGCCAGATGCTGCGATTCTGTTCGCCATTCAAATGGCCAATGCACTCATAGGCTGGTAGGTGACATGCTTGCAAACCCCTTTATCTCCTGTGCACGACATAAACACAGATCAATGGATTTGTTGTGATCCTGGCTATCTTGAAGTGGAATAAGCTCAAAGAAAGACAATGCCGTTCAATTGCAACGAAAATGAAAGAACTTGGAAGGAGAAATAGGCAAAGGAAGATGAAGAAATGAGAATGGAAGAAGACGAAGAAGATATACACCAGCAAAGACTAATGTCAAATCCCCCTTCATATCACCATCAACTCCAACCTCCTTGTACTCCCCCAACTTTTTCTTTATAACGATAAACCAATGTCCAAATCCTCTCCTTACTGCCAGCCACTCAAGATGTCCACCATAGCCATCTCCTACGCCTTCTTCCTCCTTGGACGAGTAGGTGGCTATGGCGGACTAATGGAGCCAACCTCCTATGTTCAAAGGACAACGCAAAGCCAATGTGTCCCCCCTCCTATGGCCGCCATGCCTATCACTACCCCGAAGTCTTCCTTGCAGAAGCCAACCCCCAACACGGCCTCCCAGGTGCATAGCCAACCAAGAAGATGAAGATGCAGACCACCATATCCAGGTAAGCATTCCCACCACTCTCCTCCTTGCTCACCATCTTCCTCCTCCCACTTCTTCGAGCCGTATGTCACCCAACTCGCGAAGCTGCAAATGAGGAAGAGCTCTTTTCTCTTCCCAAAGATTTACCAGCCTAGTGCCTCTTCGAGCGGTGACTTTCCAGGCCGTGCGGCCTCCCTAGCTACTGGTACCTTCCTCATTTCAAAGGGAAACATCATTGCAGTCTGATATCCCTCGCTGCAGGCCCTAGACTCAGACTATGGGAGCGGTACCCATAGACCCTAAGCCTCCCGGACTCTAAAGTTCCTTCAGCCTCTAAAGGTACTAACTTTTTGTCTTCTTCTGCCTACCTACCCGCTACTTGAGTGTTTTCCATCCTACATGGGCCTAGCCTACTTCCAAGTTCCCGCTGCATCCCCACAAAAGCACGGCCACAGGTAAGTACTAGGCTGGAGGGCCTTTCCAACATACAAGTACCCTGGCGGGTCACAAACACACCCAAGCAATCTTGCACTCAGACAAACACATAGAAACTCAGCAATCATGCACACACGCGTACTTAGAAATCTAAGCAGAATGCGGGGATCTCAGCAAGTCACACAGTCCAGCAGCAAAACTCAGAAAACAGCAGAGTTCTCAGTCTGTGTGCGCAGGTCATTACAGATTGGAAGAAAGGAAGACAGAGTGATAGACAGATGGACAGGTGGGAGGACAGACGGTTGAACAGACATGATGGATGGACGGATGGAAAGAGGTGGATACGAAAGAAGGAAAGAGGAATAATTATTGAGTGATTACAGTTCCATGGTTCCATCATGATAAATCCAGGATGGTTTACGAAGAGCCGTTGTTTGGGTGTTCTTTTGTCTGCTGCTGCTGCCTGTTGAGAGGACCAGTGTGAGAAGACAGTATGCTTAATCGTATGGATCCAATTTGATTTGGTTTGGTTCAAATTATATTTGATGTGATATGATTTGATATGATAGATGGAGGATGGATGGATGGATGGGTGGGTGGGTGGGTGACTCGCTGATGGTGAATGGATAGGCTGGTGCAGTGTTGAATGCAAGGATTGATATAGCTGGATGGGTGGGTGGGAACGTGGGTGGATTGTTGGATGGATCGTTCGGAAACTTGGGTGTATGGATGGGCGGATGGATAGAAAAGTCAATGGCTGAGTATGAGGGCGAGTTGGTGGGTGGGTGGATGGACAGATGCATGAACGAACCGATCCGTGGATGTCTGCATGGGTGGCTGGATGGATCTGAGGTCAGTCAAGTCAAGGTTGGTTAATAGATCAATTGGTTGACTAACGGATGGAGGCTCCTATGCAGTGCTGTACACAACATTAAGGGTTGGTCGCACAATATTATAGTTGTAGTCTGGTAGCCGGGTGTGAAGCTGGGATTCCAGGCAGATCAGTTTGCGACTGTTGTGATTTGATGATGTAATGATCCCAGGTCAACTCCCCACATTGCACGAATTTGCACCCCTAGGAGGAGCACACTTTTCAATGTCAGACAAACAGGAAAAGAAAGAACGTCCAAGGGAATGAATGCCAGAGGTAAGAGTGAATGAAACCACTGACGTCCCCTTGACTGTTAGGGAAAGGTCAATGCCCCACACACAGATTTATGGGCTAACAGATTGTAGGCCTTTGCCGGGTGATCAGATCTGGTGCACAACCCAGATCTGATCACTCTTGGTGCCAATCCGCCCACCAATGATCTCTCCCAAATTCAACAATCCAGAACTGCAAATCAGGGAAAGGCATGTGATGAACTCACAAGCACCACCCAACATAGAGTGAACGGAACAAGAGCATCATCAGCATCTCGAAGCTTATATAGGACAAATGCGATGACAAGAATGGAACCAGACATGAGATATAACTGCAGGATGTCACGCAAAATGAATCCCAAAAGTGAACTGTCACCTCCAAGAGAGGTTGAAAGTGAGAGGATCAGGCATGAAAGGCGCTCTCCCCTGACATACACGAACAAGGAGCACAGCGGGAGACAGGATAGAGAGAAGAGAGGATATGACAGGAATAAGCTGCAGAACTCTTGGAATTATTCCCCTCTGTCTCGTGCTCACTCTCTCCAATATCTCTTATATAATCCAGCATCCGAGATGGTGCAGAATATTTCACCCATTTCACATACACCCAGGAATACTCACCATTTAAACAATACTCATACCTGCCAGGAAAGCTCCGAAGGGTGGGGGGCGGGAGAGAGAGA